TTGTCGGAGAGCGGGAGCGGAGAGGACAAAAAACGGAATCCCGCCGCCTTCTCCCTTCCGGGTGGAGCCGCTACCCCCGGTCACGCCAGCAGTCCCATGCGCGTCACTTTGGCCGACAGGAAAGAATGCAGAACGAAGACAACTGGTTTGGGGCCAGAATGAAGATCCAGCACCTGGAAGGAGGACAGAAATAATCAGATTTTTTTTTTAAAGAATGGACAGGCTTTCATCTTTACAGGTCGGAAAAAAAAGATGCAGGTGCCGCTGGGTTCTGGGCTCGATTCGGACCTTGAATACCTGTGTGGGTGGAGTATGCATGTTCTCCAAGGAGTGACTTAGTGTGAACATCCTTTGTTACCCCGATGCTAGCAAACAAGGACAGAGACGAGGAAGGACGAATGTCGGTTGCTATTGCTCGTGCTCAGATTGGCAGAAGAAGGCGAGACCCACCATCTCTCCTTCTGGTCCTCCGAAGTCCAGGAAGAGGCTCCTGATCCCATCGTCCCCGGACATCTTGAGCTTTTCGAAGGGATAGCGGTACAGGACAGTGGTGCTCCCCGGACCGGCCCCTTCCCTGGTGATGGTGAATCCATTCTCGTAATGAATCGAGAGCCGGACATCTTGTCCGTTCAGCGTGCAAGCTGTGGACAAACAGAGGCGAGTTTTCTATCAGGAACAATTGAAGTCCTGTTCCTTGTGAAAACTACAGCCAGTTGCAATACAGCAACAACTACATAAAAATCTGTACATTAGCAAAGTAATGTCTCCTGACGACACCAAAATAATATGCTGGGGCTAAAAGATTTGTTTGCTTGACCCTGTCATGTTGCCCGAGTTGTCCCACAAGGTCACTGGGGAGGGTGAGGTGGGAAGAGAACTGCTGAATCTTTAGTAGGTTAAGGCAGAAAACAAAGTGCCAATTATAGGCAAAATAAGAGTGCAATACACTTTATATGGGTCACTTAATTAGTCCGTTCTGAAGCTAAGGCAAGACATCTGCAATAAAATATGGATGAGTTCCAGTCCTAAAATGTCTCGGCTGTTAAGGCTTTGAAATATTTATTGTGTTTTACAAATGCTACCCTCGGGTGGGGTGGAGGGGGTGGGGGGCGGTTTCTGCAACACTTAAAAGAACCAAGCGTGACTGAAACACCGCAGTATGCCGTTCCTGAGGTTAGGATAGGCACGTCGAGGGCAGTGGCAGGTCACTTTGTTCCCTCTTTGAATAATGCTGGCAGGAGAAGAATACTAATTTAAGGGTAACAATAAAACCATTGAAATAAGCTTCCTATGTATGTTTTTGTCTCAAGAGTGAAACATTAAGAATTTAATGTGAAAAGCCACAGGCAAACACACTGTGTCCTGAGTTTGGAAATGGGCAGGGGAGTCAGAACAACAGCACCACAAGCACAACAAAATTTGTTTTTTTCTGAGGCAAGAACAGTTTCAACAATTCAAATGAAAGATACACGTCTTTATGTTTTGTCTGTACTGTCCATTGGTTGAGCCAGAATAGAGGTTGTCGTTCAAAGCCACATTCTGTCCTGCTCAAAACAGTTTAGAAATCCTCCAAAAAAAAAATCACACTCGGACCACAAAGGAGCATTTTTGGAAAAGCACCAAGTGTGGCCTGCGTTATGCTTTGTTGCAAAAACGATGTGTTGGAAGTCAGAAATTCTGAACAAATTATTAACAAAATGATTGTCTATATAACTGTATAGAATAATATACAATTAACTGTCTCATTACTGGAGAAGAAAGTAAGTGAGAAAGGCACTAAAGCTCTTAAGCAGTGAGTGGATTACCACCTGAGTAAGCGGGAAAGTGACAGCTGACAAATGACAGTTAAAATCACTTGTGTGATCTCTAAGCCTCAGGACAGCAAATAGAAAAGCTCTAATCTAGTCTGCCTTACTTAGGGATTTCCAAGCTGCTTGGAAAAGATGCAGTGGTCTTGCAGAGTAATTATTACTCACAACCGAACCCTTCCTTAGGGTCAAACTGAGAGGACCAGCTGGAGTCTCTGCACATTCACTCACTGTCCATTGGAGGAGAGGTCTCTCTCTCATGGACAGCACCACATGGCTGCAAGACGCCAGGAGGCCACAGGGGGGCGCTGTGTCGCCGAGAGCCCACAGAGACCTGACTAATCCTACCCTGACCTCGCTGGTGCCCAGCTAAGGGTGCGGCAATCACGGTCAGACAGTGACATGACCCACAATCGAACCCAGGATCACAGCTCCAGCTGTGCTCAACCAAGCGTCTGCAGCCAGCTGTTTTACCTGAATTGTGCTGTAATTTTATGGCACAGAATAAGTACGAAAATGTTCATTAGACTTGTGCTAAGAACTTCCTCCCATTCACAACAAGCCACAGCTGTGAATGTGTCCTGAGATTTAGAAAGACCCTCCCCCACACTTCTGCAAACTAGGCTGTATTGATCCTTGTGAGGATGAGAGCTAATCTGCTGCCCCTGTAGATTTGCTTCCGATCAGCCCAGGGAAGTTTTTTTTCTCGGAATCAATGCATGAACAAAGCCCACTGATCAATCCTCACTCTTTCCAACGCCACCTTTCGTGACACACAGACGGCCTCAAATCGTTTTAGGAAAAATTAAATGTAAAAGACATAAAACAAAAAAGGTTGTGTCTTGGAAATAGAAAAAAACAAATGTACCAAGATTTATATATAAACACTACTATCTGTACAGTGGTTTAATTCACTATAAAAAAAAAATTCTCACACTAAATGCAGGAAGTCAAAGTGTACGTTAAGCTTAGCTTAAAACTATCCACAGGAGGTTTTCATACACAAATTCAGGCAGGCCATTCCATCCGCCCGCGCTTTAACATTCACCAGTGGAAGCTTTTTGTTTCTGAATGCTGATTCATTTTGCAATCGCAGATGCACCCGGATGGAGACCCCCCAGCTTGGAACCTTACACTCGGTTGAGCAAAAGTGATACCTACCTTACACAGAACTGCCAACAGGCGTCATCACTCAGAACGACCCCAAAGACCGAGCTTCAAGGCATAGGCACTACTTTACACAAAGGGTGGTGGGGGTCTGGAAGTGGCTAGATGAGATCTTCATATAAATTACCTACTATCTACCAACTGATCTAGAGGAGATGATTGGCCTGTCTGTTTTCATGTTTCCAGATTTAAACTGGTGGGGCTCTGTAGGACTACTTTTTCAGACCAAAATAGTTGATGTTTTATTCTTTGAGTAGCATTTCCTGAATTAGATTACTTATTCTGCACACACTCAAAATGGAACTTAAAACTTCCAGATAAAAGGAGCTCCAAAACACTCACTATTGACTTGGGTGGTCTGTCTGGCAAAACACAGTAAAACACAGGCTGTAAAAGAATTAAAATCTGGGAGTTATGCTACTCACACGGCGACCGGAATTTATTTTGGTGAGTCAAGCAATTTCTGTGGTAGCAGCCAAGTTAAAAATCCAGTAAAACGGAGCAGGTGGTTCTGTGAACAGGAAATGAGGAGATGACTGTGTTTTTCTATGACCTTCCACATTTTTCTGAATTTTCAGCATATACGAAGTACGATGCTAAAAATAATTCCCCATTAGATATGACTGGCTAACAAGAAAGAGGGGGGAAAAAAAGTCTTCCACTTCACTCGCATATTCTTGAACCCATTTCTAATGGCACGACAAAATCTCTTTTTCAACACTGTGCTGAAAACACTATTCCTCCCAGCAGTACTCAGACTGTCTTGGCGCTCGTAGGAGATTGGCAGAAGGCACGGTTTTCCTTCGAGGTGGCAGTAGAGTTAAAAAAACTGTAGGGTGTGTAACACTCTGAAATCCCTCAGGTAACTGGCCGTCATCTCATTACACAGAAGCCTTGACTCTTGACTGCTCATCCGAATACAGTGAGCCACTGATCTTGAATGGTGCTGGATAATCCATTACCTGCAGTTACCCCAAGCCCTGATTTCAGTCCTGCAATGTACAGGCTAGGAGGGGAAGTCAGAAAAGTTTTTTAATCTTGCTTAGGATCCAATCAAATGATGCACAGTGACACGTGGCATGTTTATACAGTGCATTCCAGATTGCTGGAAAAAAAAAAGTGACACACTTTCTTGTAGCGAACAAACTTCACCGCAGGGCACACGATGGGTCCACCTCTTCCCACACTCCCTCAGTGGAGTGGCAGCAGTGTTCGTAGGCCGCCAGCTGAGAGAGTGCTGTTCTGCTATGACTACACTGTTGTTGGGATCTGATTCGTCCTGTTGT